ATATATGAAACATCAAAAAGACTTTAGTAAGTTTGGTGTTACTGTAGAAAAGAACTTCTATCACTTATTCTCTGTCCTAATTTTAATCAACTCTTTTTTTGTTTTCACAATAAACCAAAACCTGCTTATCCTTATCAATAGTATCACATTGACAAAATTTCAAAAATGAATAAATAAATAAACCAAGATAAACACTTAAAGAGTAATCTCAAATTTGCATATATTCTAACTAAAAAATATCAGCTTTTTAGCTAAACTAACTCTATCATAGTATATTTATTTAAAAGCCTTAAAAATTATAGGAGCTATAAAAATGTAAAAGTTCTGTCATACTTATTTTTATGCAACAACTTCAATAATATAGAAATTTATTTTTTGAGTACAGCAGAAAAAAACTTTTTTCAGAACAACTTTAAAACCTGGCAATTGCCATAAAAATTTTTTTTTCCAAACCCACAAAAACGCTGTTTTACAATTCTTCTTTTTTTATTTCCAAATCTCTCTCATTTTGTCAAACAGTTTTTATTGCTATTACTCCACAAAAATTATTGTACTGATAGTGGTGTTAAGAATTGCCGACTGTTTGAGCTGAAATAATCAGATATCACTGCATCCGGTCATCTGGCAACCTCTGTGCAGCAACAACTGTCCAGACGGTTCGGTGACACCAAATTTACAACATTAAAAAATTTGATCACTTTTCTCGGAATGGTCTAATTATCATCGAACCCGCACACGTCAGTAATAACTGATATTTTCGTTTATTGACGTGAAACAGTAAAAACGAAACAAAGAAAAAAGAAACAAAAAAAAAAAAAGGTAGATGAACAACAGAAGATGGAGCAAGTAGTAAACAGTTTGAAGTATAAGTTAATAAAGCGGTTTGCTGACTGTTTAGAAGAGTGTCAGGAAAAAATTCTGTTCCTCGTCAAACGACTGATGACGTTATAGGAAGTTTTACAGTATTTAAGGAACAAAACAGCACTTGTTGGGATAAAACGATTTGGATTCGCCAAAATTATGTTCCATTTTATGTATCATTTTTCAGTATCATAAGACAGTTGGTAAATAAGTCAAAATCTATCGTGTTTTATTTAATTTACAGAGTACAATTTTATAATCCATCATTTACTCATGTTCTCTTGTATATCTTGGTTCTTCTTCTCCTTGTTCTTCCAGTTTTTTTAACCCTTTCAATTTCTTACTCTATCTCCTTTTTTTGGCACATTACTTCCTTATATCAATCTCAATCACCTTAGCAGTCAATTGTGCTTAATCTGTCATGTTTTTTTCTTGCAAATGACAATTCAACAACCATTATTTAGTGTTTAACAAAATTTGTAATTATTAAGACTAAGTAACAGTAAAATCAGGACAATGTATCTGCTATAAATATATATCCAAAATCACTGCGAAGAGTTGACCGATACTAAAAGTCAGAAGATTCAGTAATAGGTAGAAAAAGCAGAATATGTAAGATTTACTATGTCATTTGATCTATTCAAATTTGACATTGTTCCGTTTTCTTCTTCTGTTGTTATTTGATACTTTTTTTTTCCTTCAAATATTCATTTATAGTTAATATAAGAACAGCAGAATAGCGCAAAAAGAAAGCGTATATAACATTAAAAAACGTATTAATCATTTTTTTTCCTGCCATTTATTCCGTAGTAACAGTGGTCTGTAACGAAAAATAAAAGATCTAATTTTTTAGTACATCTCCAAATCGTTGTTGTATTTTTTGACACTCAATGCCGTTTTTATGCTGCTATTTTCTTTCTCGTCATATTTAATATCGCCGACAATTGAACTGTAACTAAATCTGCTGAAAACTGTTTCTTTTTTCCCCTAATTACTTTTGTTGAATCCGCAAAAAAGGAAAAGATTTTATATTTGTTAATTTCTTTAAATGCCAGTCAAATACAGTCTGTCGTAAAAGCAATTAAAACAAAGTAACTGTTGACAAAAGCCAAAAATTTTTCAAAGCTCA